TCCTATACATAAGGAAGAAAATGTGGGATGAGCTCGAAGTCACGGTGTCGAAGCATCCGCTCTTCAAGCACTCCATTCACCTACCCACCAATTCACTGCTTCACCGAAAGAAGGAAGTGTAGGATAGAGCTAGGTTTCCCATATCGCTACCTTTGTCTTAATCATACTTCTCGGACGGACAGACATACAAACCGACAAACTGACAAACCGACAAACCTACAAACCGACACACCAAGTTACTGCTTTATAAATAAGAATGACAAGAATGATTAATGCCACTAGGATAAATTATATATGATTCAAAGGTTTCCTACAGAAGCAGAGAAGTTTAAGCCCGCTTCCCTGTGCGCGCGAGCTCACTTGACCCACAACTCACTTATTAACATACATTCACCTGCACAAACAAAAGTGCCAACGCACACGCACCGACATACATTTCAACATCCTGATTCGCGCATACCGAAACACACGTACAGCTATACCAACACCAACACACACCCTCAAACGGGCATACCTACTGAAATCGCCAACACATACACACTTACGCATTCACATACGTACACACACAAACGCACGGCGACACTCACACGTACGGGTGCGCTTCGTTGCACGTGTCCGTCGAAACTAGGTCACGCCGCAGCCGTCGCACGCGGCGAGTCGGCCCGCGATATTTGACCGACGTCGCAATTGTCACTGGGCATACGCTTTGCGTTTGGTCCACGGCAGTCAGTTCAAGAAGAAGATAACACAGACAAATGCGAATCATTCGCTCCAATGACACTTGGTGGTACTGTAATGTCATCTCGAGACCTCAGTGTGATGCGCCTCGCGCGAAGTGGGCGGGGTGACCTACTTTCGACGGATACGCGCAACGGACGTTCTCCCACATGTACAGACTCGCAGCTAAATCTACCCGGCGAAAAATTGACGGACGAGTTGCGCGCAACATCTTTCAGCTTCTAAATCAAGCAATTCGTTGTGGGACCAAGAGCAGCACTCTTTTCTTGATGATT